TGGGAAAGCACTATTTGTTTTGAGATCTGAGGATATAGGATTTGATACAGGCCGGGGGCAGAATGATATGATTTGGGTGTGTCCTCAGCCAAATCTCATCTTGAATTGTAGCTCCTATAATCCCCATGTGTCTTTGGAGGAGCCAGTGGGAGGTAATTGAATCATGGGGGTGGACTTTCCCATGCTGTTCTCATGAAAGTGATTAAGTCTCATGAGATCTGATGGTTTTATAAAGGGCAATTTCCCTGCACACACTCTCTTGCCTGCTGCCATATAAGACACACCTTTGCCCTTCCTTCACCTTTGACCATGCTTTTGAGGGCTTCTGAGGTATATAAAACTGAGAGTCCATTAAGCCTCTTTTACCAAGCCTTGGGTGTTTTTTCATAGCCATATGAAATTTTAATAATGTCTTACACTATAATATATTGGTGGAAGACATTATGAAAACTTTTACATAATTTTTATAAGTATTACTCTGAGGGCAATCAGATCTCTGACATTTCTCTTTCTCAAGGGACAGTCAACAGAAATTGCTATTTTGTATATAAGCACTGTGTTCAATATGACTTGAATGTCTGGCAGAAAGAGTTGCATAACTCCTTAAGTATAAAAAACAAACAAACAAACAAAAGAGCTTTGAAGTCCCTTATGTGTATTTTTAGGGAACAAATATTAAAACTGATCCTGGGCAGAAAGTCTATGACCAGGGTCCTATTATCAGTGGGAAATCAGTGGAACAGGTGGTAGGTTATTATTACTAGGTGTTTTGTTTTGTTTTGTTTTGTTGTTTTTTCAGCAGGAAGTGGAGAAAATCCCTTACACTGAAAGAAAAGAAAAGAAAGAAACCTGGTTCAGAGGAACAAGCTCTCAGGAATTTTAATGTCAAATAAGCAAGAATCAGCATGAATTTTTTTGCAGGTGTTTTGAGACTAAAGTAAGAAAGATGAATATAGAGAGAATGAAAAGACTAGGAATCAGTTGAAATGTGCACTTCTAGTTTGTAAACAGCTCTATTTACAGAGATGCATCAAATAGCAAAATACTTATAGGGTTTGATGGAAAATAAATGAAGTTATGCTTATTTTAATGAGTAGATGATGTTTTGAGGATATGTAATGTATTAAGCTATGGTGTGAATCTAGGGCAGAAGTTGGACACATCTTCTCCATTAGTAATGGAAGCACACCATCTTCTCGAGGTCTGGACTGTAAAAAGTGAATGGTCATCTTATATGATAGGGTGTTTTGAATCCTTGACTATGGACAGACTTGATCAAAAGCATGCTCAGCTCTATAATCTTAAGTGAATTGACGAAGGAACAGAAAACCAAGTATTGCATGCTTTCACTGACAAGTGGGAGTTAAATACTGAGCACACATGGACATAAAAATGGAAACAACAGACGCTAGACTACTAGAGTGAGGAGGGAGGGAGAGATAGTGTGCTGAAAAACTACCTAATGGGGACTATACTCACTACCTGGATGCAATATATCCATGTAAGAAATCTCCACAGGTACCCTTGTGTCTAAAATAAAAGTTGAAATCAAAAATAATAAAACATGCTCAGAAGCACATGGATGTTCCAAAAAGGGAATGCCCAATTGACCATGTGCAAGCCCAGAAACTATTCATAATCAACTAGTGTCAACATTTAGTGAAAAAGGATGAATGTCTAATTACCTTGGTTTAACATACAGAGTCAAAGTGTACCCACTGATGTGAACTGTGCAGGGGGTATCTGACAAAACCGACATCAGACTAAAAGTTGCAGCTTTGAATCCCAGTTTTTTATTACTGTGTAAGACACATGAACATAATAGGCCTTGATAATCACTGAGGAAATGATTATGAATGAATTAATAAATGAATGGATGGATAGATGTATTGTCGAACAAGTTACTTAACCTTAATGGCTCTCCTGCCAATTATCTGACATTTACCAGTAAATTTCTCTGATTCTTGATTTCTATGTTCTGATTTCTTTATGGTCTATGATTTCTAAAATTCTTTAATATCCTTCTCTGTCTTATCAGGTTATTTCTGAGTTACAACTACCCTACTTTGTTCTCACTCCATTATCAACCAAGTTCTAATATCAGTCATCATAAGCAAAATTATGTTGCCGTCTTTAAATCCTTCCTCACATTTATTTATGAGAATAATTGTTCTATATGTACAGTGTGTCAGTAATATGCCTCTCTATTTACTGCAAACTTTAATTACTCAAGTTTAGATAAAAACTTTATAAGTGACCTGCTTCCTCAACAAACTGACTGAAAGTATCTTCTCAGCATAATGTTGGAACTTCCACCCAGGCACTCAATACTCTAACCGCCTGGATCTACTACCTCTCCACTTTTAAATCACTTTGTCTTTGTCTTTATTACAGCTGTATATCTGTTTTAAATAATGCCCCAACTCCCCAGTGCCCTGTTACATTCATATACACACACCAAAGTTTTATTTTTTCAAGATCTTTACCAAAAACTCACTCCATAACTGTTTCTCCTTTTCTCTCAGGCAGAATTTATGACCCTTTTGCTCTGGGCTCCAATAGCATTCATCATTCTATTGAAATAGGCTGAAGGACAATGTGAAATAAGGTTTTAATCCTGTTTGAATCCCTTAAAGCTAGCACAGTGACTATTCAGTATCTCCTGATTATCATATACCTTGATGGACACAGAATCACATTAAACGAAGTGGTAATTTATAAAATAATTGCCTGCAACTATCAAACCTTTTCATCATCAAAGGAGGTAAGCCATGGGGAAAGGGGACATAGAGACTACAAACATATGCCTTAGAGAATGAAAAGTAGTAATGAAAAAGCATTAAAAAAGCCTGTTGTCTCTATGGCATGATTTTCCTGCAGAGCACCATGCACTTCTCAGCCCATGTGGAATGCCCATTTTATCACTCATTTCAGAAAAGCACTGCCATCCTCCCTAGGTTATCTAACTCCAGGCAAGTTTTCAGATTGAGTCCCTAAATATCAACTCCCACTAAGGTACTTATTAGGCTGTTGGTTCTCAGCATAGATCAGGGAAAGTATAAGATATGTCAGTTAAATTATATCATACCAGAAACAAGGAAGCTACCAGTGATGAGTGGGGGTCAAGTCTAAAGTTCTCTGGAGCAAATCAGAAGTGGTTGTCATTGATCAAAGTTGGGATTATTCAGGGAAAATAATTGTAATGGACCAAAAAGATTAATTTTAATAAGCATGAGTTCATAATGATAACAGAAAAAATTATTCATTAGCCAACTTTGATATTCAAGTACCAACTCGTCATTTTGGAAACTGATGAAGAAGAGTCTTTATCTTGATTTTTCTATACCCACTGTACTGCAGCATAACTAAACAGTCAATCACAGAAAATTCCTCTTCACAGAAAATAATGGCAAATAAATTAAGAAGGAGTAAAAGAAAATCATTACTTAAAGTCCTTGATAAAATACTGGATTTAGGGAATGAAAATACTGGGAATGATAAAATACTGGATTTAGGGAATGGTCCATGAAATCCAAAGACACTTAAGACAGGTAGCATGGGTCTTTTGATAGAAGTACTTAACATTACCTATGAAGTATTAGGGCCCATACTTCAACCTGAATATGAACAAGTCTCTATATTCAGCTAACAGTTTACAGGAAATACAAGAGGCAAGAGAAAAAAAAAGTAAAAATAAATAGAAGCTCAAAATAAGCAAAATCTATAGAACAAATTACCCATTTTCTTCCACAAATAAATTAAATGGCAAAACAGAAAAGAGAATTCCTTTTGTTTAAAAAACCCATGCCCAGCTTCCTCACTTTTACCTAACTTAAACTTACTCCCACAGTGTTGCCCTTATCATTCAGGAATGCAATCACAGATGTCTTACTTGTTTCTCCTAATTGATATAATGAAAACAATGTCTTGTTACTTTCATATTAGCAACTACCACCAGCATGCCCAGCACACAGCTTATAATAGGTGCTCAATGAATGTTTACAGAATAAATGAGCGAATAAACTCAAAGCACCATCAATTTATCATTTATCTTAGTGTTATAACTCATTTTCTTCTTACTAAATCCGGGAGTATGGAGCAAGAGGACAGCAGTGGAAGAAAGATGGCACAGAAAAGTTTTTATATGATTTCAGATAAAGATTTGTAAAGCTTTGTCTTTATGAGTATTTTCAGTATTTGCTGCACATTAGTGTCTCCTGGGAAAACTTTAAAAATACATATAGTTGGTTCTATAACCCTACATTTTGATTTATTTGATTTGGATGGGACCCAGAAATATTTTTTGTAACTCCTCAGTTGGTATAAACACAAGGCCAGGATAAATTGTTCTGCATCATTTTCAATGCCTTTCCATTCCACCATGTCTTCCAAACTCTAACCTCCCTTAAGTACAGAGTTCTTTGTTACATCTGAAGATTCTAATGCAGTGCTTGGTTCACAGTGTTAAATATTTATTTTTGTGTATGTGCCTGTATACATATGTGCATATGCATGCATGCTCATTTTTGTATGTATATTTTGTTCACATGAATAAACATGAAAGCCCTTTTTAATACAGCATCTTTTCTATGGTCTCCTAAGAAGTAAAGGACTCAGGCCATGAAGCCAGTAACAGGAAAAATAGGCCAGTATTTTAGAGCAATGTAAAAATATGTTATAGTGGTTAGATATATACATTAAAGCTGACTCTTCATACAAGAATAGAGCCAAACTTGGTTGGCAGAATCAAAGACTGTTATCTTTGTTTTACTGACAAAACATATACAGATCTAAAAGTCTATCAAAACCTGCACCATTAGGGTGACTGTTAGTTTTCATTGTGATAAGAGTAATGTATATCCAGAAAATACTAGATAAAATAGTAAGTGGTCTAGTATTGCCTTTTACTTTTTGTTAACAGTATTTTTAGTATGATCTTTTATTTGATGGCGTAAGAGAGATGAAAAAGAGTTTAGATGGCTCAGTCAAGACTTGTGTTTGTGCTCACGTCGGCAGGACATATACTAAACCTGATGAAACAGAGAAGATTATTATGGTCCCTGTGCAAAGAAGGCATGCAAATTTGTGAAGTGTTCTGTATTTCTCTAGGAGGTGGATTTTGAAAAAAAGCAATAAAATAGACTTCTAGTTAACTAATAAAAAAGAGAGAAGATTCAAATAAACACAATCAGAAATGATAAGGGAATATTACCACTGACCCCACAGAAATACAAATAACTATCAGAGAATATTAAAAATACCTCTATCCACATAAACTAGAACATCTAGAAGAAATGTACAAATTCCTCAACACATACACCTTCCAAAGACTGAACCTGGAAGAAATTAAATCCCTGACTAGACCAATAATGAGTTCTCAAATTAAGGCAGTAATAAGTAGCTACCAACAAAAACAACAACAGCAACAAACTGCTGAGGACTAGGCAAATTATACTAGAGGTACAAAGAACAGCTGGTACCATTCCTACTGAAATTATTCCAAAAAATTGAAAAGGAGGGACTCCTCCCTAACTCATTCTTTGAGGCCAGAATCATCTTGATAGCAAGACCTGGTAGAGATACAACAACAAAAAACAAATTTCAGGGCAGTATCCCAGATGAAGATCAGTGCAAAAATCCTCAACAAAATACAGGCAAACCAAATCTAGCAACACATCAAAAATCTTACTCACCACGATCAAACAGACTTTATGCCCAGGATGCAAGGTTGATTCAACATAAGCAGATTGATAAATGTGATTCATCATGTAAACAGGACTAAAGACAAAATCATGACTATTTCAGTAGATGCGGAAAAAGCATTTTCAATAAAATTCAACATCCATTCATGTTAAAAATTCTCAGTAAAGTAGGTATTGAAGGAACATACCTCAAAATAATGAGTCATATATGAAAAACCCACAACCGATATCACACTGAATGGGCAAAACCTGGAAGCATTCCCCTTGAAAACTGGCACAAGACAAGGATGCCCTCTCTCACAACTTCGATTAACATAATATTGAACATTCAAAAGTGGGCAAAGGATATGAACAGACACTTTACAAAAGAAGACATCTATGAGGCCAACAAACATGAAAAATGTTCATCATCACTGGTCATTAGAGAAATGTGGATCAAAACTACATTGAGATACCATCTCATGCAAGTTAGAATGGCGATCATTAAAAAACCTAAAATGCAATATAAAATGCAATATATATATATAAAGTTCTGGCCAGGGCAATCAGGCAAGATAAAGAAATAAAGGCCTTCAAATAGAGAAAAAGTCAAACCATCCCTGTTTATATATGACATAATCCTATATCTAGAAAATCCCATAATCTCAGCCTAAAAGCTTCTTAAGCTGATAATCAACTTCAGCAAAGCCTCAGGACACAAAATCAATGTGCAAAAATCACAAGCATTCAGATACACTAACAACAGTCAAGCTGAGAACCAGGAATGAACTCCCATTCACTATTGCCACAAAAACAATAAAATACCTAGGAATACAGCTAATCAGGGAGGTGAAATATATCTACAAGGAGAACCACAAACCACTGCCAAAAGAAATCAGAGATTACACAAACAAATGGGAAAATATTCCATGCTCATGGATAGGAAGACTCAATATCATGAAAATGGCCATACTGTTCAAAGAAATTTATAGATTCAATGCTCTTCCCATTAAACAACCACTGACATTCTTCACAGAACTAGAAAAACTATTTTAAAATTCATATAGAACCAAAAATGTGTCTGAATAGTCAGGGCAATCCTAAGCAAAAAACCAACCAACCAAACAAACAAAAACAAAGCTAGAGGCATCATACTACCTGACTTCCAACTATACTACAGGTATAGAATAACCAAAGCAGCATGATACTGGTACAAAAAAACCACAAAGAACAGTGGAACAGAATAGAGAACACAGAAATAAGACCACACACCTACAACCACCTGATCTTCAACAAACCTGAGCAAAATAAGCAAGGAAGGAAAGGATTCCCTATTTAATTAATAGTGCTAAGGTAAATGTCTAGCCATACGCAGATTAAAACTAGACCCCTTCCTTACACCATATACAAAAATCAACTCAGGATGGATTAAAGACCTAAATATAAAACCCCAAACTATACAAGCCCTAGAAGAAAATCTAGGCAGTACCATTCAGGACAAAGGTACAGCAAATATTTCATGACGAAGACACGAAAAGCAATTGTAACAAAAGCAAAATTTGAAACATAGGACCTAATTAAAGAGCTTCTGTACAGCAAAATAAACTATCATCAGAGTGAACAGACAGCCTACTGAATGGGAGAAAATTTTTGTGATCTACCTATTTGACAAAGGTCTAATATCCAGTGTCTACAAGGAACTTAAACAAATTTATAATAATAAAAAGTAAAGTGGAGGCCGGGCGCGGTGACTCAAGCCTGTAATCCCAGCACTTTGGGAGGCCGAGGTAGGTGGATCACGAGGTCAAGAGATCGAGACTATCCTGGTCAACATGGTGAAACCCCATCTCTACTAAAAATACAAAAAATTAGCTGGTCACAGTGGCATGTGCCTGTAATCCCAGCTACTCAGGAGGCTGAGTCAGGAGAATTGCCTGAACCCAGGAGGCGGAGGTTGTGGTGAGCTGAGATCGTGCCATTGCACTCCAGCCTGGGTAACAAGAGCGAAACTCCGTCTCAGAAAAAAAAAAAAAAAAAAAAAAAGTAAAGTGGGCAAAGGACATGAACAAATACTTCTCAAAAAAAGACATACATGCAGCCAACAAACATATGAAAAAAAGCTCAACATCACTGATCATTAGAGAAATGCAAATAAAGTCACAATGAGATACCATCACACACCAGTCAGAATGGCTATTATTAAAAAGCCAAAAAAACAACAGATGCTGGTGAGGTTGTGGAGAAAAAGGAACACTTTTGTTGGTGGAAGTGTAAATTAGTTCAACCATTATGGAAGATAGTGTGGCAATTCCTCAAAGACCTAGAGGCAGAAATACCATTCTGCTTAGCAATCCCATTACTGAGTATATACCCAGAGGAATATAAATTATTCTATTATAAAAATACATGCAAGTATATGTTCTCTGCAGTACTTTTCACAATAGCAAAGTAATGGAATCAACCCAAATGCCCACCAATGATAGATTGGATAAAGAAAATATAGTACATATATACCATGTGATACTATGCAGCCATAATAAAGAACAAGATCATGTCCTTTGCAGGGACATGGATGGAGCCGGAAGCCATTATCCTTGACAAACTAATGCGGAACAGAAAACCAAATACCACATATTCTCACTTATTAGTAGGAGCTATGCAATGAGAACACAAGGACACAGGGAGGAGAACAACCCATACTATGGCATGTTAGAGGGTGGAGGGCGGGAGGAGGGAGAGCATCAGTAAGAATAGCTAATGGATGCTGAGCTTAATCCATAAGTGATGGGATGATCTGTGCAGCTAATCACTATGGCACACATTTAACTATGTAACAAACCTGCATATCCTGCAACGATATCCCTGAAGTTTTAAATTAAATATTCAAAATCAAAAAAGTAAATAAAAATTATATATACATTGCATATATACCATTTTAATATAAATATGTAGTAATAGAATAATTGTGGATGCCTATATATGATCCAAAACTATATTAAAATACATTTCCATAATTTGATCCAAAAAGATTTGTGGTTTTGTTTTTTTAAAGTTTCAAACATACACAAAAGTCAAGAGGTTCACATAATGATTACCATGGGTTAAACATACCATGTGTTTAAACAATTATGAGCTCAAACAGCCTTGTTTCATCTACTTTCCAAACTTGGATTATTTTGAGCTGAATCTCACACATTATCATAAGCCTCTCATCATGTGTATGTAAAAAATAAGATTTCTCTGTTTAAACAAAACCAAAATACTGTCAGACATCTAAAAACATTAAAATTATGTCTTAATTTCATAAAATCCAGTTATTAGTTACATTTCTTTGATTGTCTTCAAAACATTTTTCTTTATAAGTTGTTCAAACACAGATCTAAATAAGATCCATAAACTGATCAAGGACCTAAAGTGAACATTAGGGTGAATGTGTCATAGAGTGCAAGAAGGGAAGTTTTCAGAAGCAAGGCAGGAAATGAAAGTATGTTCCCATCATGAATGCCGTGATAAGCCAGGTGAAAGAGTTTGAGCATTATCCTGAGAGCAGTGAGAATCCACTGAAATACTTTAAGGATTGAGACATGAGCATATTTAAGAGGAAAATAAATTGAATGAATATTAAGGGATCTAGAAAAGAGGTCACCTGTTGACCTCTTTCACCATGTTCAAACTTGTTTTATGTATTGACTTTATTTTTCTGTGAGAACTAAATTTGGAGGTCTTTTAAGATTATGAAGAAAGCTACCTTAAATCTGGACAACTATAAGAAGTATGAGTCCACAATAAAAAATAACAAAAATATGAATATGATTAGGTAGTGCTGGCTGCAGCTCAAGAAAATGTGAACAAAAGCGTTTTGCAGAATTTTCTCTATGCTACCAGCCTAGTTTATCTGGGAAGAAAAGAAGCAAAACAAAGAAATAAATGACGATGCACTTAGGTGGAGCTTCCTTTTATCAAAAAGTATATGTAATGAAAGAAAACTGTGTTGAAAGACTATTGACATAAATTAAAGCCATGCCTATATCAAAATAATTCAGAGAATCCAGAAAGTAAACATGGATTAAATTCAAGCAAAAAGAATGGAGATATTTTTACAATAACAAAAAGCACATTTGATTTGAAAGTCTAATTATTAAGATAGTACTACACATAAGTATAATTGACAATAAAGATTTGTTATCCAAAATTTATAAAACAACAACAAAAAGAAATTACAAAATGAAATTGATTTATCAGTGAAATGGGTGACTTTGGCTCATATATCTTACTCTATGGTATATCAAACAGGGCAAAAATGGTAAGAATTTATGGTCTCTTATATATTAATAAAAATGTAAGACATTTTAGATGTATATGAATATACTAAATTCTACATCCTGAAAATAGAATACACACTTGCTTTTCAAATTCTCTTGGGA